CAGGTTATAGGCAGGCCTACAAAATGGCCCACCGATGTATAGTAGACCTGTTGGCACTTGTAGTACTAGTTCCTGGTTTAACAGGTAGGGGAACACAGATGTGTATAAGAGACAGGGCCTACTGTAGTTCGGATAAGCCTTACATACATCCACCTTGATTCAAGACAAACACTAATAGAGATTATGAATTAGTCCTACTTTCTGCATAATTAGACTAGAATTACATCTACTTTATTTTCTAATTGGATTTAGGCTTTAAGAAACTGATATGACGTTTACCATCCGGAATGGAAAATTACAGATTGAAAGCTCTTAAAAGCTCTAAAGTGGTGCGGTCACCTTGATGGCTAAGATACTTGCCTTCCAACGCCAAAAAATCAGTCAAATTACGATACATTTAACTGGATATTAATGATGACAATTATAGAAAGCAGAACATTTTTGGTTTATTTTTGCGATATATTGTGAGACTGTCATAAATAGCTAATCTCAGTGTTCGTGATGCCTGTGATCTGGACAGAGAAGCCGCGATTTAAAAAATCTAAATCTAAAAAGTACCGTACGTTACACAAAAATACAGATGAAATTGTTTACGTTCACATCTGACATACCGTAACATGCAAACAAATATTACGTAATAAAAACAAACGGTGACATAAACCTAAAAAAAGCAACGAATGCACACGTGGAATAAGGTTCGGATGTACAACATGGATTATCAACAATTAAAATAGAAAAATGGTTAAAAAATTACCACGAAATCGTACAGTAGAAAACAATAGGCAGATTCGTATTTTGAACTGCGCATGCCCGTATCCAAGGTCAATCGACAAAAACCTATGTTGTGTGATGTTTGTTTAAACTACAAGTTGGCTTATTGTAATCTGATATTTCAAACCTTTCTCACTATTGTAATTATTGAATTTAACTTTAAAAGTTTAAAAAATATATTACAATACAGTAGGGTGCTTAAAGTCTGATGTATTTATTATTGATATCTACCTGTTACAGCTACAAGAGCTCCCAACACGCCATTGATAATGTAGGACACATCGAACGTTCTCCTTTTTGTTATATAACTGAAAAAATGATATTGATAATGAAGCATACCGTAATTAATTGTAATTTAATAAAATAATAAGTTTAATCACAATATTGATGAAAATAAAAACGTCAAATGAAAAATAATGATGATGATTATCATGATTATGATAATGATGATGATGATGGAAATGGTAATTTTGTTGTTGATAATAATGATAATGATGATGACAACGACAATGATAATTGATAATATTAATATTGATGATGATAATTGTGTGACTAATAAGAATAATAGTAATAATAATCTACAACAATATATCTAAACATCAATGGTTAAACTATCAGCAGTTGAAATTAGCCACTGAGTGCCGTGCTACGAAGACCTTTGAACCCCTGGTTCAATTTCATTACTAGTCCTTCATTTTAGCTAGATGTCGAGAGGCGAATTCAAGGGATACCGCCGGCACACGGCCCCACCCCTTTTTTTTTTCTTTTTTATTTTCAAATGGGAAAAAAGTAAATTATATTCAAATATAATTTCGAGAGTGCCATTTCCGATCATCTGGATTCCCTCCCGAGCCCCCTTCTATTTCGAAATCCTAGATCCGCCATTGCAGATATGAAGTACGTTATCGTAGCCTCGATTTTTCGGATAAAATACTTTTTTTTTCTATTATACATAAACTCCTTATAACATGAAAGTGGAGAGCTTCAGAAGGAAAAAATGTTTCTAGATGCTGACATCAGAGTGCTTGCCTTTCAAACTCCGACTTTCATAATATTGACAAAGTTTATCTATCTTATTAAAAAAAATATTTAAAAATATTAAATGCTTTGTTAAGATTATTCGGAAAGCGCTTAGTCTCTCGAAATACAATATTCTACTCTAGAATGAATTGATTGTTTTTTATATTTTTTATTTTAAGAAGGTATTAACTATGGTTTGAAATTAATTATTTACCATACTAATAAATTAACCAATGACGTAATCAAAAATTATTTTTAAACGTTGGTACTCATTTGTTTAGAAGCTATTCATGATTTAGAAGCTATTCATAATGCATTACAATCATGTAAGCATTTAGTTTTCTATGATTAGACGGCGATGCCATAGTTATTATATTTTTGATTAATTTTACTTGATTGTTTTTGAATTAGAATTATTGCTTTTTTCACGCCGAAAAGCATTTGCTCTCGTCAACAACTCGCAGATATATATATGTAGAATAATAATAGATAATAATAATATAAAATTATAATGAGTAAATATAAAATACCGTATGTAAATAAATAAATCGGATGAGAATCACCAAACCTAAATTATAACAAAAGTACAACTGTGGAAATACTTAAATGAGTATCGTTTGAATTACGTGGTATCTTTGTTTACCTTAGACATATTCCAGTCGTGCCCCCAGCCACTGATGACGTAATAGTGGCAACGGCGGATCTGTAAAACAAGCAAATTGAATTAAAAATACAAAGCATAGTGATACATTTATATGTATATAAAATTGTTTTTGAATTTTTTCTAGTATTTATTCATATGTTTACGAACAATGTTCAATGTTACAACAAATTTGTATAGAAAAATAAATGTTCAGTGGCGTTCTGAAACAGTTATATAGAAAATTATCTTAAAAATAAATGAGTCTTAAGTCTGCTTTTAAAAGTAAAAACATTTGGAGCAATCTTAATTTCCATAGGAAGATAATTCCAGAGATCAGAATGAAAATGACCGACGACCATAGGAATTGCTTTTGATTTAGGAACGTAAAGTATATACTTGGAGGATGAACAAAGAGAACGAGATGAAGAATGATAACATCTTGTATCATTCAAATTATATGTATGTATTTCTTGTTAAGGTACCGAGAGCGGTCGGCACAGCGGTTCCGCTTTTGATCTCAACCTTGGGATTGTATCACCAACATAGTAATAATCCACTAATGTAATATGAACTACTATTGTAATAGAAAGAAACAGTTAACACTAATGTAACGTTAACCACTAATATAATAAAACCATTAACCACTAATTTAATAAAACTCATTAACCACTAATTAATAAAACTCAATAGCAAGTAATGTAATGAATTTCAACCACTAAATGTTTAATAAAGTAGTTATAATAATATTTAAATACATTAACATTATAAACCCTGACATTTTGTAACCGTACCGTACATTCTCCACAGAACCCAAGAATATCATGTATATTATATCGAGGCCAAAGATCATAATCCCATTGAGTTCAATATTGTTACTGGAATAATAATTGTGGCATGTTAATTTCTTGGAGGTGAAAGATCAAAGCCAGCCTTTTGGAATACTAGTTTGCATACATCAAACAGAATTAAAGAAAACCATAGTTTTAAATACCTTACTAAATAATTTTGATTTTTTTTTTTAATGTTCCCTATGGTTGAATTTATGGCTAATTATTGCCAATTTATTACATTGTTATTCATGCTTATTTTCTTAAATTGCTAAGCGCCTATACCCTTTTATGCTTAAATCTATTATTATCAATATTATCATCATTATTATTATTATTAATTCTAGTTGAATTAGAAGAGCGGCAAAATAAATTGCACACCGTTATGTCTTCTGGCTTTACTATTTATATTTTTTTTTTTCTAAGAAGTTGGCCTAATAATGCAGAGTAGCGTCAATTTTGTGAAGCTCTAATAATTGAAAAAGCGTCACCGTGGTGGTTGTGTATATACATTATGTGAATGTATTGCCACCTAAATTAATCCATTATCAGTAATATCGTGATAAAATTATCATCTATTAAGGGTGCCCGGTAAACAAGCGTGCACAATTAAGGGTACATTAAGGTACAATACCTAAGGGTTCATCAACCCACGAAATAAAGAGATGTTGATGAATACAAATTCTAATATAATTCAAAGACTAACCTTGCAGCGAATTTCCAACGATAGTCAGTAATACCATATGTACTCCCGCAGTTGAATCCTAGCCACCCCCACCTGCAAATGGTATAGACCAAATAACTGGTTACACAATATTTTTCTAAGACACGGAAAAACGGTTATGACAACAATATGGAAATAAAGATAACAACACAAAGCTTTTTGATCAGTAGTACCGTACCTACAGGTAGATACTCATTATAATTTCGTAGTAAAATCATAATAATATACAATACAATACAATACAATACAATATACTACAATACAAATCTTTCTTTAATCTGGAAAGCTCATTTCAGTACAATAGATGTAGTGGTCTCCTAAGCGGTCCAGTTTTGGTAAAAAATACAATTTAACAAAATTATAAAAAGAACGAAAAAATCAAAGAAATTATAAAAGGGGTGAAAACAATTAAAATACAATGCACAAATGAAATTAAAAGGTTTAAAAATCAAACGTAGTTAATAGTTTGGAAATGTTTACGAACATCAACTGGAAGGTCATTCCATAACATTGATGATCGGTATAGGAATGTTCTCTTCCCCATGAGTGTTTTTCCAGGGTGGAATTATTAATGTTTGTGGATTGGCTTCTAGTATTTTTTGGGTAGAGTGTGTCCATGAATTGGAATTGATTAGTTAAATATAATAGGGCGAACCCCTCTAGACATTTAAATATCATAATTTTAATATCGTTTTCCCATCTGAATATTAGTTCAGTAATAAGGGTGTATATATCAGCATAAAGAGAAATTTTGGCTGGTCAATTTTAGAGAATTTAAAGACGAGTAATACTTCAAGAACTACAATTTGACCAAACACGCAATTAGCATGCATTAGCATTAGCAAGTAGTCTTAAAGCAAAATTAGAAATGGTATATCTTAATCTACGAATGACACCAATACTTTGTGATAGTCTAGATGAACTTGTTCTACATGATTTTTCCATGACATAATTGAATCAAAAATAATTCCAAGATATTTGAAGCTTTCAACTCTTTACACATCATAATTATTATACATATATATAGGCCTATATTTTTTTGCATAATACGCAAACGATAACGTTTAATCATAAGTGAATTTTGTATGGAGAAATTACCAATTTATTATAGGCAATTAAGTTCCGTGACCAACAGGTTGAACGTCTCATTGAGAAAGACAATGTGTCATTGTAACAAAATGAGTGAAGTCATTGGAATAGTTCTTCCCAAATGTGTCACCTCTATCTTAGCCATTCCCTAAATTGTATGATTATCAATTCCTGTTTGCGTATTCTTCTCAAAAGATAGACAGGGGTGAATACATAACCTTTTTATACAGAACAAATACAGAACTAAAAATACAGAACAATACTATCAAAACAGGATAAGAAGAACCAAACAAAGGTGCGAAACAAACTATGTAAGTCGGTCAACCATAAACAACTAAAACCAAGAAATGTTATTATCCAAGCAAATTTCAAAGACAAAGCAGGGGCGGATTTAGGGGGGGCCGGCCCGGCCCCGGCCCCGGCCCCCCCTTTTGGGAGGTGAAAAAAAGAAAAAAAAAAGAAAAAAAGAAGGAAAAAGAAAAAAATGATAGCCCACAACGCCTCAAATGTTATTTTCGGCGTCTAGAACACAAAAATTTCGCGGGGGCATGCCCCCGGACCCCCTAGGGCGTTGTTGTCTCGATCGGCCCAAATTTCGGCCCCCCTTTCGGCCCCCCTTTTTGGACATCTCTGGATCCGCCCCTGCAAAGCATAAAAAATTGCATTCTAAAATCGATAAATATATATGAAAATGACCTACAAACATTTATTTACATTAAAATTATCAAGCTTGGAGGTCATTAAAAGCGTTTACCTTGGTCAGTTGTGTTTTTGTAACTCAATGGTGTATTTTATTTTCAATTTGGATACTTCAACATAATATTAATTGTAAATTTTAGTAAATTGTGTTCCTTTTTATATGTAGTTGTTTTACATTTTCTTTCTATATGATTTTATTGATTTGTTTCTTCTGTTTAGCATATATTGTTTCTATAGAAACAATACAGCATTGCCATATTGATGTTAAAATCAACACTGATAACAACAAAATACAGTGAATGATATCAAATGTTTCTTGATGAAAATCCAATGATAAACACGTTCTTTATATAGCGCCGTTTCGCTTCCACACTGGAACAAACACTAGAACGTCGCTAAAGTAAGTGTTTATCATTGGATTTTTACGTTCTTTATATAGCGCCGTTTCGCTTCCACACTGGAACAAACACTAGAACGTCGCTAAAGTAAGTGTTTATCATTGGATTTTTATTAAGAAACATTTGATATCATGAATGATTAAATAATCCTGATGGATTATAATCAAAATATAGTGAAACTGGTTTACAACAAATAATAGTTTTTATCAACTTACCATAACATAAACATTCCAAGTAATGCATTTGTAGGTGATCCCATGTTTTTAACATCGCTCTCGTCATCAAATCTACCAAGTCTTGGTTTCAGCATAATCGTCGAAACCAGTCCAGTGACCCCTCCTACTAAATGAACTGCACCAGCCCCGGCAATGTCTACAGCACCTTTTGTATGCAGCCATCCAGTTTTGGCCCAGACCCAACGTGCAGGAAAGCAATAAACCAATGTATTGAGAAATGAAAAAACTATGTACGCCTCGAGCTTCGTGCGCTCTGCAAGCGACCCACTCACAATAGTCGTTGCTGTAGTGGCAAACGATGCTTGAAAAAAAAAGTGTGCGAATAGATGTCCTATGGTTTCATCGTCCATATCAGCATCTACAAAGAAATAGCCAACGCCAACAAACGCGTTACTGCCTTTATTAACTCCAAAACACAATCCGTAGCCGAACATCCAGTAAGAAATTCCACCGAATAAAACATCAACTGCATTTTTCACCATGATGTTGACTTCATTTTTCTGAGACACGGAACCCGATTCCAAAAGGCCGAATCCAGATTGCATCGTAAATATAATGAACGCACTAGTTAAGGTCCATGTCGCATCATCCCACGTACTCATGGGAAATCCATACACAGTAGGCACCGGTGTACTGTTAACTTTGGTTATCTCTGCTGATTCGTTTAATGAGTTCTCCATTACGTCCGATGTAATTTCAGTCTCTATACTAAATCAGCGGTTGTTAATGGCCTACAACTGTATGAGATAAAAGAACAAAAACAAAAAAGATGAGGAAAATAAAACGAGAAATTAATCATAGATAGATAAATATCAAAGTGGAATAATGGAACACGAAAATACTAATGTTGCATTGGCCTACTTGTATTTTAGACAAAATACCATGTACAACAACCAGAAAAAAGAACAGATTAAAGAATGATGGCCAATATGCCAAAAGAGTTAATGTTGAGCAGGACATGTTACTAATACAGTGCACCACAAAAGAAAATACGGGATAGCTGTCTAATGAAATTTCAACAGCCAATTTGAAAGTGGATCAAGAATTCAGCTTTTTGGTAGACTTTGGCATAACAAGGCAAATAGGCTTAATTCTTCTTAAGATACATTTCTTGTCAATGTCTCTGACGGCCGATCCTCGACGAAAAGAAAGTGTTCCCGGGGCGAAATGAAAATTAAAGGTATTCAAAGGTGTATTTAATCGTAATCGATTTTAGAGTCTACTAATATGCCTATGTAGAAAATACATATAGGCCTACATTTTTTGTTCTCCCCAACCGGATTGGGAGGCATATTTCTCCAACGGGGCCCACCCTCGGTCTCCCTCTGGGCGTCACCCCTGTGTAAACTAATAAATGTTTTATGGGGCCTAATATATAAATAGTTTTTTTGAAAAACGGTGGGCAAGATTGCATATAAATATTAATGTTTACAGCATTATAGAGATATGCATATGCCATGCAGTAGAAGAGCACCGTCACAGCGGCTCTATCGAGACCAGGCTAGGCTATGATATGATAGGCTATGAAAATAATAATAGTAATATTAACAGCAACATCATTGATAACAGCAGCCAATAATAATAATAATAATTATTAGGTCTATTTAAGTGGGGGCTAGGGCGATGGCGATATCGCATCGCCAAAATGTAAACACACTAACTACAAATCCATCGGTTAGAGCATGAGCAAATTAGCCTTTTCCTTGCGTTGTGGCGCTTGCGTTGTATTCAGTAGATTTCATCATCAAGCTTATCTACTGTATTTCACTATACTACATTCCATGCCATATTCTTCTCCTGGACCTCACAATATAATTGACAACCTTGTTTAATTTCCATGTGTATATATTGTTATATTCATATTTAATATTATATATGTTAATTGTTGTCTTGTATATTATAGTGATGTTTTCGATTTCTTCTGTTTGTTATCAACTCAAAGAAACAAATCTCGTATATATGTACTATGTATGACGAAAATAAATTTTGAATCTTGAATCTTGAAAAGTTGAATCGATTCAACTTTTCGAAAAAAAAAACCGCAGAGACAATCCGCAACCAACGCAAAGGTTGAGTAGCGTCGGTGTTGAGTTGCGTTGCCAAGTTTGCGTCATCGGTTCCCACTTGGAAGCAGCAAAACCCTCGCATTGAGTCACTTTGCGTCATACGTTGCGTTTGCGTCGTTGCGTTACGTCCTAGTGGGAATGCGTTTCAGTTTTGTTCAGAAGTATTAACTTTTGTGCACTTGCTCATCACTCATTTTTCCACTAAACATAATAATTATTCATCAAATAAATAGTACGGTCAACCCATACGAAAATGCGCATGTGTGTATTTATGAATATATTTTCCTATGAGGATTGTGAAAAACGCTCCTGTTCGTATATGGTTGACAGTCAAAAGTTTGTATCATTAATAATCTAAAATAGTAGAATGGGGTAGGGACTTTATTGTCGATGCCAACGTCGTTCAGTTAGCTTAGATTTGAATTGTACCATTAGGGTTGATCAGACATTTTTACTGTTCACCTTTCGATAAGAGCAACTTTATGAATACTAGGTTGAATAAAAAGCATACAGATATGAAACTGAAACATCGATATTTACTAGTTTAGTGTCGTGGTCTATATGGTCACTTTCGTAGTATGTTGATTGCATTAACAGAATTCCCCCACCCCCAAAAGTGTAACGCTATTGCGAGGCCCGGTCAGGACGGCAATGGGCAAATGGTTTGGCACGGCCTTTCACAACCTTTGGTGCAGAAATCACGGCTGCTTCCATTTGTCCAATACATGTTCCTGTAAGTTGTGTGTCTCATCTGCTTCCCTCTCCCGGTAACACCTCCTTACTGGTCCTTGGCTAACAATAGACATCAGCGCAGGGTTAAAGAAACACATCTCATCAATTGAAAATATTTTACTAGTTCTGTACTGAAACTTATTATTAGCGCGGATGGTGGCTTAAATGGTGTCATTGGTTGACATGTATCTTTGTGGGCTCGATAGAGCATTATATTCATTTTTTTGAATAAAACGTTTCAGAATACAATTAGCAGAAGCGCATTTTATTAATGATTCAATCGGGAGATATAGGGAAACACGTTATATCTTCAGATTTAATAGTAATCTTCAGATTTTCAAGAGTATGACCATGAGTTGTTGTTTTAGGGTCGTATTGCAGTCGTAACGAATTTTGAAAAACACTAATGACTGATTACACATTCTGCTGGTATTTACCAATAGTCGACATAATAAATAGGTCAATAAATTGGTACAGTAGACAAACAATTGATGTCTGTTTATAACGATGGTTATTTAAAATAAAAGGCAATACAATACATCAAACAATCTATTAGCCTTATTGATTGTTACAATGGAACGAGGAGATGGAATGTCACCTGGGCAAGAACAGGTTTAGATTAAAGAATATTAAATAATTGAATAAGTCTCTTTACTAGGTCTTAATAAATATGTTCGCTATATTTGATTTGAGTAACAATGTTAACGTCGTAGAAATAATTAATTCGTGCGATTCAACAATTTTGGCCTCAACAAGGCCAAGGTTTTACATTTCATAAAGGTAATATTGTCGGTGCAGGTTAATGTTATCCTCGGTTGATGAATTGAATTAAGAACATTTTAAAGAAAATTACAAATTTAAGATTTTAGCTTGCTTGAGGATGGTAATTTCAAAACTCATATTGCATCATTGCACATCTACAACTATGAAGTTTTTATAGTCCTATTAATTCATTAATCATGGATGGTAATCGTACTCACTGCATCACACCTTTCATATTCTTCAATATCAACCTATTCCGTCATACCTAACGGTTTCGAATTCATAGATCAGTGTAATTATCTTGTGAGCAATGAACAAACTGAAGCTTCTCTTCCCATCTCGCGTGATTGCATAACAGCACTTGTTCACGACCTTATTTGAGTTTACATTTATTTCACCTTGATGCCAATTACACTTTATTTTTTTAAGAACACTAAGGCTGAAATTGGAACAAAATAGGAACAAATTGAGAATGAGTTAAAAGTATCATATGAGATTTTTATTTTTAAAAAACTAGAAGAACCAACAAAATGTTATCTGTACCTTATTGTGTAGTTGGTGTGGCTATGTAATACCCTCTATACAGTACAGTATACTGAGCCTGTACAATAATAATTTTCTTAATAAATAAGTTTGAAAAGTGTGTAAAAATAAGAAAAAATTAAGAACATTTGAGCCTGAAATCGGCCAAAAAATAAGAAAACTGAACTTGGGCAAAATTTTACTGGTTCTTATATTAAAAAAAATAAGTGTATCTTACTGGAAACTAGATTTACCGTGCGATTTCCAATTGCTTTATGTCTGCTTTATTCAAAATAAAAATTACTTCAAAATAATAACACCAACTGAATTACAGATTCTCATATTTTTCATTTTGGTTGAAAAAACTTCAAGGTTTTCTCTTTCATGTAATCGTCGTTGACTAAGTTTTGATCTAACTAATTCGATTAAAAGGTTTCGAAAGTGGTCCTGGGGGCGAATCCAGGGGGGGATCCAGAGATGTCCAAAAAGGGGGGGGCGAAAGGGGGCCTAAAGTTGGGCCGATAGAGACAACACTGTCCTAGGGGGTCCGGGGGCATGCCCCCGCAAAATTTGTGTGCTCTGGACGACCGAAAATAACACTAGAGCCGTTCTGGGCTTATATTTTTTTCCTTTTCTTTATTTTTTCTTTTTTTACCTCCCAAAATCCTCCCCTGTCCAGCGTCGCCAAATTTGAACGGATGTGCAGGAAAGTTTGTACTCATAAACTAGACGTGATTGCCAACAAATTTCCATCGCCCTTTATTAAGTTGGACCCCAGGGTTCCCCCTACACCTACAAAACAAAACAGGGGTTTCAGCAAGATTTCTTGACGAAAACCTACTCTACCCTTACTTTCAAATTAACCAAATATACGTGGTATGACGGTACCCTTACTAATGTTGTATCCTAGCATAATAATATGTATTTTATTCTTCTGCCTCAGGGACTTTAGGATTTATTCGTTGCACTAATAGGACTAAAGAAACTAATTTCCTTCTTTTGTCCTATAAACGTATAAATATTTTATTACCCGATTCTGGAACATGCTGTTTCTGTGTGGATCTTGGTATCGAATCTCAATCTTTTGAAAAACTTTAACTAATGCACTAGGTACTTTTTCCTCGTAAGATTTTGAACGCCCCTCTTATGAGGACAGATTATCTATCTTTCATCTATATTATCATCTCTGATTGACTTTCAAACTATTATTTTTGTTGTGAAATATTTAGTTTTTATTGATTTCTTTCTTGGGTTGAGTTGGATTTCTTCGGTCTAACATATATTATAGATTACCAACGAAAGTTCTAAGACTTATTTCCATTGGGGTCCTTCTGGTGGTGAGTTGGGCAATACACTGGGAGACAAAACCCTGCGTTCTTTAACGTTCACATGAGCCATTTTGCACACCAATGGCTTAAACGTCTCATCAAGATGGTGCACTGGTGAAACACAAGGAGAAAAGTGATGAGAATGGAACCAGGAACTTAAAGATCCTCACGCTTCGGCGCACACACAGACTGACCTATGTAGCTGCTCTTTGGTATTTTTATCTCTTTATGTTTCGTTACAAAATAATGATCTTATATTCAGTTCTCCTTTTATCTGTTTTCGATCCTAAAGTTTAGACTTAAAGAACCTTGTTCTTTTAAATCTTCCTATTTTATATATTGTATTTAATGACCTTCGTTTTACAAGATTTTCTAAATTCTCAGAATTATAATTACTTAGCTTATTTCTTTAATTAATTTTTAAATTATAAATTATATATCTAAAAGGTGAGTCTTCAACAGTGACTTAGTATTTTATAATTATGTTTACTTTTAGTTTTTGCTTGTTTCTTGTAATTTTGTTATTCCGAAATTTAATAAATCAAATCAACTCAATTTAAAGAATCGGGAGAATGAGAAGACAATTGAGTAGGACCGCATCTTGTGCTGGCGGCTGAATCATGCTAACATCTTTTAAGGTTTTATTTGTAGCCGATGAATTGTATATTTCTAATTGTTGATGTTTATTATTTTTTATGTTTGTAAATTATGTGTTTGTTTGTTTGAATGGATTTGATGTATGTATTTGGGTTTCTTGTATTTTTGTACTACAATAATTTCAGACTTGTTCTGTTATTTTTTTACGTCATTAGATATTTAAAGAATATATCTTAACTGGTCTTTACATGCTTTTAATCTGCAATAATATTATTGTTTCAATATTTTCCTTTAAGCGTTCCGGGAGCTAGGTAACAGATACAAAACAAAGTCGATGATATTACTATCTTAAATATAAGCAATAAAACATCGGATACGTGATAAAAACATCTTACATTATTTGTGTGAATGACATCATTATATACGTCATAACTCTAATCACACCCGGAACAGAAGAGCAGGTTAGAATCCTTGTATTATATCATCAGAACTGGACTGAAACATGCCTGCCTTAACTAGATGGTTACACCTCACATCCAGATGAGGAATACATTTTGAAGTTTGTTCCTTGATATACTCAACTATACGATCATGTCTTGCAATATGGAGGTTACGAAATGTTATACGTCCATTTAAGATGTGTGACACAGTGTCTACAAGATTATTACACATATTACAACTTTTGGGATAAGACTCAGGGTAATACAAATGAAGCAACGCATTACACTCTAATAATTGTAATCTCCCCTTTATGATAAATTTCACCAGATTATCTCTTAATGAATAGTTAGTGAGAAATTTCATTAATGTGACATCATCACAATCAACCTTAAATATTCTACCTTGTGATTTTAAGTTTTTTTAAGCGGTTAATTCGACTCATATTATGTTTAATTTTAATATGTTTACTTATTAATTTTTGACCAATCAAAGACATCGTATTGTTTTCTAAAATTAAAAAATCATCATTGTGGATTTTAAGTTTAAGGTTTTCGCGAATTATCAATTCATTTAAGTGCATCCAAATTGATGCAGGCCAAATTGTTTTCCCGTGCTTAGTTATTCTCCCCATTACATCTGACCTATAATTGCCAAAGCATTGTTCATCAATCGCCTTTTCTGCTTTACGTTTATCCATATGGAGTTCAAAGGATGACCTAAATCT